GGAAAGACACGTGTTTACGCGCGCGATACTTACTCGAAACAATACCAATAATAATATTTATCGAACAAAAATAAAAAGAATCAAGCGGAATCCGTATGCGTTTAAACACGCCCAGATATTCTACGCACGTTTCATATACATCTCGCAGCTACGCGGTTGCGCGTAGATTGCATCGCAGCGTGAGCGAGAGAAGCCGAGAAGCACGCGCTTAGCCTTACACATGTGTACGTACACACACGCACACGCGTACGCATATATTTATGGTCACGATTCGAATTACGATACGCATTTCCGTTAACGAGAGCGAACGAGTTGGCTCGAGAGGGGGCGAGACGGCCGGTGGCCGGTCGGTCGGCCGGGGCGAGGGGAGCGGACACGCGGATTTGTGCGCCTCCGACAAAGGCCGGCTTCAGGGAGTTGAAAACCTGGTTAAACGAGGGCGGCCGCGCTAGCTTTATGGCTTTAAACGGTACGCGGTGTGTGTGCGCTTCCCATGCATCTCCGCGTCGCACTTTGCGCTTCGATGCTCCTCGCAGTCGCAGTTTCCGTTTTTAATCGTATCACACGGAATGCAAGATTTTGAAATTGTTTTGCGTCAAAAATATTTTTTTAAAATAATACATCGTATTTATTTATATATATTTATATTTATGTAATTACATTTTGTGTGTATTTAATTGATGTATAAAAGTTGTAATGTATACATATATTTAATTTATTTTATATATTATTTATTTTACATATATTTATTTTATATATTATTTTTATATTATATTTTATATATTATAAATTATACGTACATAGTATTATATACGTATATAATATAGCTATTTAGAAATAAAAAATCTATACAAGATTCTCTTTGAATTTTAAGAGATTAATTCACAACCTGATCGACTTGCTCAAAAATTGACGTCTTTTTGAAAGATGATGTGAAACGAGCGAATCTCTTTGATTGCGCTTAATCTTTCTCACGTTGCTACCGTCAACAATTTGCTGCGTGTTGCTCGGCATGTTACTGTAACGAAACCTCAAAGTGCTTTGGTGCCGCGCGCGTTCGAGATCCATGCAAACAGCAACGTAAACATCGATTGAAACGGGAAGCCTATGCACTTAACGAGCATCGGCGAACGTCCTGTTGTAGGCCGGGAGAGCAGGTACCCGACAACGACAAGTTCGGTAGCAAAGACTTATGGGAATGATGCTCGTTAGCAAAAGCGCGGTGAGAGACTCGCGGATCGCCAGGATTAGGGCGCGCGGCAACAATGGCGAGCCTCTGTCGTCCTTGTACGGCAAGGATCTTCCTCTCTTGGCGTCTCCGACTTTCCTCCCTCTCGCGTCCGCCCCGCGCGTTTCCTCTTATCCTTTTCTCCTCCGCCGCTCGTTTACTATTACCGTTTTCTCCGATCTCGCGGCTCTTTTGTTACTCGCGCATTGTCGCCGCGCGAAGACTATCCGCTATTGTCGTCGACAATAGCAACGGCCGATTGTTTCTTAACCCATTGAGGCTTGATAATCGCTCAGTCAGCCGTCGAGAAATAATTATTAAATCTCACAGATGATGGACTCGAGGTGGATTTAACAGGTCTCCTCGAGACGTGTATTTCAGTCTCTGGAAAAGATGCGATAGGATTTTTTATATTTATATATAAAATGTTTTTCACCTAAATTTAAATGTATTTAGATCTTGTTGGATTTAATTTAAATTTATTACCGCTTCATATCATTATGTAAAATGATATGATAATTATATTATTTTAATGTTATATCGCGCAAATTCCGATCATCGTATTTTCGATCATTAAAAAAGGAAAGTTGTAAATAAAAGCTACATTTTTTTCTTGAATTATAAAACGTATTTAAAGTAAATAGACGTGTTTATTTAGAATTTATTTAAAAACATACATTTATCTCTAGTTTTTCTAACGTAAATTTGATCAAAAATAGAGATTATACTTTACTTAATTATTTTTTATAGAGTGAATATATCGGAAAGCACATCGTGTGCACACTTTTCCGAGTTTTTTCTTGCGCGTCACAAACACTTCCGCGTCGCAGACTTTTGTTTATAACAGAGCGGGGTAGAAATCATATACATACGTGTGTGCGTGGCGGTGGATATGTAACTATATAACTAATAATCACGCTGTGGGAGATCGTTGTACCGGAAGACACGGTCCACGGGTTCCGCTAGAAATTGAAATTCTTCCTACCTGCGACTCATCGTCTCTTAATTGCCATCTTCACCGATTATTTTCACGCGCTTTTTGCTCACCTCGAGTTTCTCGCCTCTCTCTCAACACTCGCATAGTCGGATAAGGATCGCTTTGACCTTCACTATTCCAAGCGTAGGTGTATATACTTTTCTATAATTAATATAATCTCTTACGACCTTTAAATATGAAAATTTCGTACGATTACGGAGATTAACGCACTTGGATCTTTTTTTATACAATTATTTTATTTTTACTAAACTCGGATAATAATATATTATGCAACCTAGAGCGGCATTTTTTCTATATTGCCGAACACGCGATCCATCTATTTCAATTTCGTGCAACGGAAATATTCGATTCGCAATCTCTTTTCCGTATGAAATTGTATGTGAAATGTTCCAAGCGGTTAAAACCGGAGATTTTCTTATTTTTATTTATTTCCTGTGTCGAGACCCTAGAAAACGAACGACCCGAAGCGCATTGTCTCTGTGAGCCATTAAGACAATACATATCCTTGCACTAAGTACAATGTTTCACGCAAGACTTTATTCGCGTTAACAACGTAAAGCAATCTTAAGAAAATTATTCAAAATATCAGACTCGAAAATATTAAAATTAAACAATTTAGTTAAAATAAGTTAAAATAAATCAAGAACAAAAAATATCAATCATGTTTGCGCCGAAAATGGCCCAAAAATAGAGTCGAAACGTTCGCAAACTTTTCCCAATTATATTTATTATTTTCAAATTTATTTGTTTTGTATAATAAATAACTGTTATAAGATCGACACTTGATTCGCATTACCATTAAAACTAATTTATTTAATTTTAATCTTAAGAAGGATATTACGATTGCCTTGAGACTGGATAATCCTACTGGTCTATTTTCATTGATCGTTTTGGGAATAGATAGCTTGGAATAATATCGTTCATACTCGGTATGCTTGGAATCAATGTAGTTTGTATTTGGCACGGTTTAGTTGAATCAATATCGCGCAACGTGATCGGATTGATCGGTCGTGGCTCCGTCGAAAATAGCACAGAGGTGCGTGATTGTATCCCGGACTACTCCCTCGCACACACCTTTCTCTAATCGTAAGAGGGGGTGAAGAAAGAAAACGAGCGCGTGCTCGAGAGCTTTTGCAAGCTTGCTGGATCTTCGTGTCCGGATAGGCCCTAAGGCCTATCTGTATCTCTCGTGCATTTTTCAATTCATTCTTTCGCCGAGGCTTCTTGTCCCGCTGTTTTGCACGCGTAAGGCGATTTTTTTGTCGCGCAGATTTTCTCACGGATACGAAACGTCGGCGAATCTCCGGGAAATTACAAAAAAAAGATTCCAACGCTAAGATGGCGTAAAAATGCCGTTGCATATCGCTGGAACTTTTATCGGAAAAAAGAAGACTCGGTTTTTATTAACGGATCGTGACAAATCGTCGTTGGGGTGCGGCCCTCGCTAGATTGTCGGGGAATAATGATGCGATCCTCGAGTGGTGCGCGCGCATTGAGTTATGTTAGGTATAGGAAGGCAGAGGCTAAAAAGCGTGAACCACCGAGAGGCCGATAAAAAGAGTAAAAGAATTAAGCGACCTTATTATCGTTCTCCGATATATCATTATTTCGTAAACAGCGCGAAATATTTCATCCGGCAAAAATAAAATGAGTTATTTTCCCTTTGAATATACAAAAAACAATTTTATTATATTTTTATTATTTATTATTTTCATATATTTATTTATATGTGATTTTTTTTTTATAATTATTAAAATGCACCTTTGTTGGCAGCAGTTGGGAGTTTTTTTTTTTTAATATTTTTTTATTTATTATTAATTATCATATTTTTCATCCTTTCATTCTTCGTTGCGAATTATGCGCTAGATTCTAAAGTGTTTCATATGTAAATTTTACACATGTGGAAAATTTGCATGCGTAAAAAACGACATGTTGAATAAATATGTTGTGATAGCTAATCTAATTTCTATCTAGATTAATTAATAATTTTAGTCAGAAAATGCAGTAGATAATTATCTCTACAATATAATTCTACGATATAATTATTTCTAATACAATAATAATAATAATAATAATAATAATAATAATAATAATAATAATAATAATAAAGATTGTTTATCGCTTACTGCTTATCACATTACGAAAGTCAGCGGATCATTGTGTCTACGCGTTACTCTATCCCTTTACCGCTACTGCCGATATAAAACTCTTCTTCCTGTTATCGCGGTTCTCAGCAAACGTACTAGCTTGATAAGGTGTCGCCCGAAAGAAACAGGAGACGACATCGCTACGTTATTAGTCTCCATTAGACTTCAAGTCGAGATCCCATAGTGTAATAAAAATATGCGAGCCACGAAAGAGCTACTAAGAATCACTTGACTCCACTCGACCCCCGTCGCCAACTTGGCGCAGAGTCCAAATATCACGTGCGTATCATGGGAAAAATTATAGTGTAGTATTTCTTCATCATTACATGCCACTTGGGAGAATTGTCCGCCCTTTATATAAGATATCATCTTTTTCATTATGCCTCGTGTCTTTATTGACGCAGAATTCTTATGAAAACCTTATGGAAGAATAAAAAATCAGCGTGCCATGGATAAAGATATGCGTAGGTAGAAACATCTTGTTGTACTAATAAATTTATTGAAGACGCAATGGTTTCGACGTTTCCCAATGCAGCATCTCGACGATAAATTATCTGTATCGACGATCGATGTGACTGGCGTTGATCTCGGAATCTGAATCCGACCTAAGAACATCGATTTACTTTAGAACTCTGCTTATGGGACCATTAAGCTGAGAGATAATCCGTTCTAGAGGCTAGAAGTATCTCTCGATTCTCGCGTGGCTGTAGAAAGGAAGACGACGAAGAAGCATCGAAGATGTAGCGGATTCGCGTGCGAACGATGGACGTACCCGGTGCGAAGGCCACGTCCTGGTGGCGAAAGGATCACTGAGTGAGCCGCCGACAGAGGATGCACAAGCATACCAACCAGCTTCGCGGTCCAGGTGGCCATAATGGTGGCTATCACGGCGCTAACAGGGGCCCCGTGAGAAGATGGAACAGCTTTCATGGTGGTGGTGGCGGCGGTGGTAATGGTGGTACGGGTAATTTCAACGATGGCGTTGGGAACGGCGGCACGAAGGCCTGTCAGGAACCCTTCAGGGCCGTGCCTAAGGCCGTACAAGCCCTCAGGAGCGAGTCGGTTGACAGGACTCATCGAGCTCAGCCGCCGCCGCCACCCGCGTTTCCCAGGAGGCGATTTTCCGTGTGGTGAGTCCTCGCAAGAAATTTATCTTGAGAAAATTTCGATCGTCGATTGTGAAGCTTATTTATTATTTAAGCAATTATTATTTATCGCAATTATGATTACGGCGGGAGGATAGATGTATGTGTACTTTTCATTTCTATACTGAGAAAAAAGCTGTAAATTTGACTAAACCGTTTAACTAAATTATTATTTTTTTCTAAATTGAAATATTTAAATATTCAAGTTAAATAGATGTCATGTATTATTTAATTTAAATAGCTAAATATTTCAATTTAAAAACTAATAATTTAGTTTAATGGTTTAGTCAAATTAACAACTTTTTTTTTCAGTGCAGGATTGCGCGTAAAAAGGAGCAAAAATGTATTTTTTATTCGCAAATAATTTTGTACATATAATTTTGTACATATATATCGAGATAGTTATATTGAAATAATAAGATGGATTCTTCTGTAATAATCGCTTGGTATATTTTTAAATATTAATACATGTAATTCGTAATTGCGTGGACAGTTCACGTAAAATTTTTTATTGGTATAAACTTGTTATTTTATTTTTAGTTATAATGCAAATCCATCACTCTATTATAATTTGACGTATGCGAATTATCGTTATATTTTACATAAGCATGTTTGAATCATCAGTTTGTTTTCAATTCTATAAGTTGATAAATGAATAACTTAAACCACAATCTCGGGCTACTATTATAAAGTATAGATAACTTATCTCTTATGCAAGGAGATATAAAATTAACTTTTTACGAGATTAAGAATAAAATCTAGTTGTAATTTTTAACTGTAGTAATTAAATTATATTAACGGTATAAATTTCTTTTGCTTCAATTGAATAGAAATATATATATAAACATATTATTATATTCTTCGTAAATATATTTTTTCTCGTTTCCAAATAATCTTAAATTATAATACTCTTTTTCTGTAATCAAAATTAGCAATTTACTTTGTAACATATATTTTTATTACGATTATTTCCCACAAAATTTCATATTAATCACGCTTTATGCGCTTAAAACATTTTTGATAAGTTTTAAACATATTGCTGTAAGCACAAAGAAATTTAATCTGTATTCATAACGGAAATCGTTGGCGGATAATTTTGCATTCTTAGCCGTGCAAAAGAAAGCCTAATAGCGCGATGAAAATTCAAAAGAAAGGATAATAGAAAGGATAATAGCTTTAACGATATCATAGAAATATTTCATTACGTGGATCCACGTGGCTTTTATATACATAGTCTTGTGAAATGGCACGAATAATTTCACGAATGTCAACAGAATGAATGAATGAGTGAGAGAAAGGAGAGAGAAAAGGATAAAAGGGAGAGGGAAGAAAGGACGCTTAGATATGCGAAATTGTCAACAATAAGGCAGTCGACTATGTCATTAATTTCTCTGAAAACGTGAATTATAACAAACGTTCTCTGTGGATTATTTCGGGAAAATGTATCTCGGAAATGGGAACAAAAAAAATAAGAAAATCGAACAAAAGTTTATACTAGGGCCGGTATTCATAGTCTGATCTTACATTTAGTCGTATATTCTGTAAGAAAATTTTCGCTCTGTAAGCTCTGTAACTCTGTAGCTCTTTAGCTCTTTCTTTTTTACTCTACAGTGCTACATAGCTTATAGAGATACAGCGTTATAGAGCAGAATAGACAGATTTTACAGAATAGACCCATTAAGATCATCTTAAGAACTTTAACCAATCAAATAGTTACAATGCAAATAAATCGCTTACAAATCGGTTGGCAATATTCATATCAGTCTTTTGTAGATTAGATTAGATTATCAGAAATTATTTCAAAACTAGTGTTATATACATATATGAATTTTTTATGTTGTAATTATGTTGTAATTTTTTATGTTGTAATTATACTTCCAATCATCACTTTATGGATTATAGTATTTTCTATATAACAAGAGATGCATATAAATATTTATTAAATTGTAAATTAAATTGTAAATTTAATTGTAAATTTATATACATGTAGAAATAATTCTTAGAAATTTTTTTATTTCAAGAATCTTTTTATATCTTCTATCCTTCTACTGAATTATTAAAGTGCCAGAGTAGATTAAAAAAGTAAATTAAATTTATGAATTTATGAAAAATTAATTAATAAAATATTAATAACGTTATAAAAAGAGAATAGAAGGCTAATTAAAAAATTATTTATTTATTTTCATGCTTGCTTTTCAAGGCAGGAGATGTGCATAATAGTTATCGAGTAATTTATTAGAGACATTTTATTCAATCAATCGAATCAAATATCGCTCACCTGTCATTAAAATTAATCTGTCAAATATTTTTGGTGAGATTTTCTGCTTATTTTAAACAAAGACGAATGTAAGATATCGAATGGCCTAGATGGTTAGTAACGATAATTATAATCTTGAGGAAATGAAAGGTGCAACGCGACATTTATGGAATTAATTCGCAGTACAGGTGAGAGATGGAAAAGCCGAGACGCGCATCATCCTTATCAAATTCAATTTTCTGCAGTGCATATCCACACATACACGTATACGTACAAAAGAAGAATACATACAAAGCAATGCGTTACGCATGCGTTACGCGTGCGTTACGCATCGCGGCCTCGTTTGTGTGTACAAGTCGAGGAAAGAGCGGGATAACATGCGGGTCAACAGCCTTCGACAACCTTACGGCCTTCTGCAACCTCTCTTTCTATCTTCTTTCTATCCATCATCTCGCTTTTCCGATTCTCGGTCGGTCGAGCATCGGTATTCGATTCACGGTCGTCGTCACCGTTAAATCGAGGACTTTCCATAATGAAAAATGCACATACAGGTGTCAAAAAATAAGATGTTCAAGAAACGGAAAATATGTTCTCTTATTATATAATTGTTAAATTTTGATTTATATATAATTGTTATCTGTATTCTTATCTCTTTATAATTTTATATTATAATTTTATATTACAGTTGAATATGAGGAATTTTAATTTTACATCCAGAGATAAAAACAATATGTAGCTTTCTATTTAATAATTTCAAATAATAATTAATAATTATTTCATTAGACGTTTTATTTTTTAATTTACTATGACGCGAGGATGTTCAACTGTGACGTGAAAAAGGAGGATCTAACGCCAACTTTTATCAGGAAAAGCGATCTCGATTTAGACAATTACGTATCGGCTATCCCCCTACTGTTTAACCGCAGGAGGTTTTCGCCGAAAATTGGCTGAACCGTTGCGCTTTTATAGTTAATTTGAGAAGTGCTCTCTTCGACTCGAATGGGAAACATCTGTCGATGGCATGGCACCCAATATTGGTCGTAGAAGTTAATGCCAGGGTGTAGCATGGCATCACGGAATAATACGTATTTGAGCGAACGTGCGAACACACTTGTACACCATCGGACGATTCGAAACGATGTGAAATTGAGGGGTTCGTGTGATGAATCACGTCTTGAAACGACTCCCTTTTCGCCTCCATACGAAATGTGATATTTACAAGAAGCCAGAAAAGACTATAGAGACTATTGACAAAATGTTGCCCTCATTTTCGTCTTTGTTAGGAGCTTTTTCGAAAGCTCCAATATCTCATGTTTAACTAGATTCTACTGCGTGAAAAAGACACGAGCTTTCGCAGAGACTTGTTTGGCAAATTCTAAAATAAAAAAGGGCGATTAATATTTAATGTCTGATTTAATATCATTGAAAAATTCTTGATGTCTGAAAATTTTTTGTAGAGAAACTGCGTAACATTTATAATAATATCTTAAATAATCTCAATCTTTTTTGCAGCTTCGGGAAGCGGACGGGTGGCAGTGCCAGGCGACCCAACGAATGTTTCGTCCTCGAGCCCTCCGAGATGATTGTCGTGAGTAGTTTCTTTGCTCTATGGAATAACAAAGCGAGAGGGAAGCTGCGAAGGAGATTTGCGTTTAATTTGTTTTCGAAGAAAAAAGAAAACGCTTTATTTACTCAGTTTTATGAAAGAGCGAGTTGCGGCCGTTTGTGCTTTGCCGACAGTTTTAATCAAAAAGGAAATCTGGACGAGGGAGTATAATTTTTTCTCCGGTCGGTTTGCCACGGAATGCAAAATTGCATTTGCTCCGAGACATTTTCCGAGTATTACGCGCTCGCGAACTACGGTGTAAGCGGCGATATCGCGCAGCGAAAAGACAATGCTCGCGAGAGACGTGCAACGTGGTAGACAGTTAATCAATAGTTTCTCTCTCTCTCTTTGCCTCTCTCTTTCTCTCGGCATTATATTATGCCGAGGTTGAGTTTTGGATCCTCCGTCACGCTCTTGTAGGCTCGTTTTATTTCGTTCCCAGCCTATGGCATGTGGCGGTCGTTTCTCTACGTGCCGAAATTGGGGCAAACTTTTAGACATGCGGGACTACTGTGCGGAATCTTTTAACGAAGACTATCGTATCGATCGAATAATTAAGCTTTTAATTGCCTACAAAGTTTTGGCAATAACGGAGAATGCTGATTTCGCTCGATTTTTTTGTTCAAGTATTTTTCGTTTTATACATATTTTTCTTGTAAGAAGTTCGTTCTTTTCAGTTAAACTGGTTGCATTAATAGAGTTTATTTTTTTTATTGCACTTTGAAGGGGAAAAGATAAACTCTAAACTAGTGCAGTCAGTTTAGAGAAAAAGGAAAAGACCGTATGTTTCGTTAGGAATCTATAATTCGCGACAAAATTCAAGATGGAAATCTATTTATAATATATGTGTTTCACTATGTGTATTTTATAATACACATTTCTATTTATATGTATTCAAATGTCTTTTTATATTACACGCAACATAAAATTTATAAATAGAATTCTATCTTAAAATTTATTTCTTAAATTATATTAGATCGTCTATAAAGAGATCTTGAAAGACAGATTACATTTTAAACTTTATGACTGAATAATGGGATAAAATATAATTTATTACATTTTTTTTATAAAGGAGAAAAGGAATATGCGACACCGAAAGTTCCTCTTCAGATTTTACTTTATGTATTTTTATTATATATAATTTATGCATTTTTTATGCATACATTATCTCGAAATGTGAAACGGCCATCATTTTCACATAAGCTAAGCTTAATTACGTCCGTAGTTGCAACATTAATTGCAGAATCGCATGGAATTATTCTGGTATGGCAGGTGAACTTTATTCGAGCGTATCAAGTTGAAAATTCTCGTTTCTCTAATTACACAATGTGGACAAAATTAAGTTTCTGATTCGAGCTGCCATCTGTAACGGCCATTCTAAACTGCCTTACCGACAACTAACGTAACATTACTTGCTGATTGTCGATTAAATTGCGTTTACTATGTGCGTATGCATGTATATATGTGGTTACATTAAATAAATAATATTAAATAAATAAATTAAAAAATGTATTCCAAATTATCTGCATGCACTAGCTTTACAATAAATTATATCGTTTGGATTTTCATTAATATTTTTTTTACGTGTAAATTATTTTTTAAAATACATTTATAATTTTATTATAACAAATAGCATTTTTAAAAGATCTCTTAAAATGAAAAAATAATTTTGACAGATTTTTTTTAATGATATCCTTTTAGTCTTTGATTTTTAAGAAATCTTTGGATTTATTTGAATAATTTTGCAGAAAATTAATTAAATATTAATAAATTGTTAAATATATTATTCGATTTGGCTACGATATGGAAAGCATATATGTTATATTAGATTTAGAAGGGCTTATGTTAGTTTTACATTCGATATCAATCAAATTCGATTTTCGATGACATACATACCCAGCTTCAATCGGACATAATCCCAGCTTTGTACTTAAACGGCGTATCCTATAGTCAATTTTGCCAGGAGGATTTATCAGTGTACAGTTACATCACTCGTAATCATGCGCCTTGTTTTTCACGTTGAACTTTGAAATTTCGCAGCGCGGAACCTACGCATATTTGTACAAACTGTATGTTATTTCGAAACATTAATTATAAAATTAACTCATCATCGAGCCAGCAAGGACTCTTCGACTCTGAAACTCTTTTTATCGATAATTAAAATGTTATCGATAATTATTTATCCATACAATTGGGAGGTAACGCAATTCGCTGTGAAAATTAAGCTACACTTTAGTTTATTTTTTATATCATTATTTGTGCAATATATCTGAATTAATGAAAAGCTCACAGAAATAATTTGTTCGAATCAACCATGCTTCTGAAAATGTAAGCTACGGATAAGCTTTGACCTGATTTATTTAATTTTCCCGCGTTGGCGGGATGTGAAATATCGAGGATTTTTTTATCGCGAGGACATTTATCGGTTTTGACGAATTTCGATCGCGTGTTTGCCGGTAATTTGAAATTTTCGTCCACGCAATGTCGGGAAAAATATTGACCCCACCGTGGTACACGCGAGTTCACGTGCGTCCTCGGGTGACTCTGTGACCTGATAATGCGAATTGGACGTCTGACCTTTAACCTTCATCTCGTGGCACCGTGGCACTTTATCCCTGTCGCTTTGCGCCATTCGAGAGCTCATTGCGTAGAGCTTCATCGCTTTGGATTGATGATTTATCATTGTCACACACAGTCTCAAATACTCTACTCTTTAATGCTAAAATACGTCTAATATCGTGGAATGTGTTTTCGTATACTGTCAGATTTTTTAACAAATTTTAAAATTCATCATCATATCATTGTCACAGTCTCAAATACTCTACTTTTTAATGCTAAAATACGTCTTTAATATTTTAATTATATATTATTCTTGAGAAGATGGAACCTTTCGATGTTTGTTGGCCTTGTTGCTTTGTTTCTCTTTTAATCAATGTCTGTTTTCGTAATGAATGGACAAGGAAATAATTAGTTTTGCGGTCAAGGAAACGATATATACTTGTACTTGTGGGACGTGTCGCTTGGAACATAAACCGAGTGTCACGTCGCGCAGGATGCGGGCTTTAATTGCGTAACCGAGCACGTTTTATCCTTCGACGCGTGCAGTATCTCAAGAAATTTGTATCGTCAGTGACGAAACATTATCAGCTCAATGTGCCACGTTTATGAAACATGAATCGTCTTTGTCCCTCGTAAAATTCGATTATACGTCACGATTTGTTAGCATAAAAGAAATCTTACCGACAAATTGTAAAACAAATGTGACTAAAATTAATTTATTATTATTGTTATTTGACGTTATCAAATTAATAGTTTATTTGATGTATTCCGACAAATTTGACAAATCTTGTATTTTAATTTTGTCAATATTTGTCAAATCTTTCTTCCTATTTTCTAAAATAACAGAATTTTTTATAATCGTTTCATATACTTGTAAAATATAAAGGAGAATATGTCTTCATCGAAGTTATACAAAAATAACCGATCGATGCCTGCAGATTATACACTTATACGTTTTTGAAAAAAACTGCACGAGATTCTCATTATCGGAAACGATAATTGAAACGAATCGATTGACCGAGACAGCAGTGATTTTCGTTATCCGTTATTTTTTTTTTTTTTTTTCACCGGGGAAACGAATCGTCGTTTACGTTTGGGAGGTATTGAAACTTCCGGCATGACGACGTCGCCTTTCATGCGAATAAAAAGTTACCCCTCAAAGGAAAACTTTCTATTTATGCGGTATCGGCGAGGCAAATTTCCATAGGAAAACCAATAACTGGAGACGGATCGATCATTACGGCCGGAACGAACAAACAGGAAACTTAACTTCGAGGGCCAACAAGTTGCAGCTGCAATAATCGCCGCGGATAATCCGTTCTGCAGACATTGTTCCGTTTCCGAGATCGCGTATGTATCTTCCCTCCTCGGTTACGTCACCAAGCTTAAGCTCGTTTGGCGAGACGATAAAATATCGTATAAGTTTGCAAAAAAAAAAAACCCGAGAAAATAAAAGGAGAAAAGCTGACAGCGGCAAGAGGCGAGGGAGGGAGAGAGGAGGAGGGGGGGGGGGAGAAGGATACAGAAAAAATAATAACGTTGCTACAATTTCCATGCTGGCTCGTTCCGCGCGCGCCCAATTATGCAATTATACAAATTGCGATCTGTGTCCCACGATTATTTCTCGTCGACCCAGATGCAAGGCGAGTCTGTCGAGCTCCGAAATGTAAATCGCGCCATTTCTGAGCAATTGCGATCGATATCCAATATCAGGTTTCGCGGGGCTTAAACGTCCAGGGCACGTTTCTTTTTTTCTTTTTTTTTTTCTTTTTTTAATTCTACGACAAATTTTCTGGATGTATTCCGAGTATCATGGCGGAAATATTCGGCGTATACGCGCATTTATGTAAGAATCGCGGCGGACGATGCCACATCCGTTGTGCGTAAGCGTCTCCGGATAAGGATTCATTACGCAGGGGATGCGTACAGGAAGCTTGACATGAGTAAAATCGGAGCCGTGACTCGTCATGGTATTACTCAGATTTCAGTTTTATCTCCAGACTCTTTTAACACCACTGTCCAATAGAAAGGGTCGTAATCCGTCCTCGCAATGTGGTGCAAATGTAGCTGGCTAATCCTCATGCCGGATGAAATTTACATATGAAATAAATAGAGCTTGTAAAATGTACGACTCGACTTTATGTTGTACACATACGTCAGAATAAATCTTTTAAAATTTTTAATGGACTTGCGTGAGCTTTTTATAGCGTTCCATTTTTTTCTCATCATCAGGATAATCAAATTTTAATAGCGTTTTTTTTATGCGAGACATGAAATTCAAAATATGACGATGTAATTGATTGAGTGTATTCTTGCATACTTTGCCGCACTGGTTGAACTTCGACCGTGCCTTCTTGCCCTTTGACACATTTTGCCGACATATTCAACAGCAGAGATTCTGATATTACAGTGAGGATTATTTT